TATGGAAGATGAAGACTTGACCATACACTCAAGTATCTTCCCATAAAGCAAATATTTCCCTAATCCCCCAGCTCAAGAGCCGGGGTCCAGCCACTCAGCACAAGGAGGACAGCTGAGTTGGCGACAACATTTGACCACGAATTCTGGATTAGCCTGCTCCAGAAGTATGTGTGTACTGCAGCTGCATCCTCCCCAGAGCATTTAAAATTTATCCTTGTTCATCCATGAGCATGACAGCAACATTTTCAAATGATTTTAAGTTTCTCCAGCAGTAAATAAACCACCAAGTTTTAATGGACCCAATTTTCCAAAAGGAATTTGTACAACTTTTTAAAACATGGCCATCAAACCTGGGGCATCTCCAGTCTCTACAGCCCATTCTCTCCTTGCCGCTACAGTCCCAAACAACCTCTTTGTTGCCAGCTAAAGTGCTGGGAGCCCAAGTTTACATGAGAACTGACCTCAGTTGAACCCCTTTTCAGCTCTGTCCTCCTTAAGTTCCCCAGCCCTGAAGTGAAAAAAAAAAAAAAAGTTGTTGGAGGCACCAACAAGAGTGTGTCAACTCTTAGCAATGCCCTAAACTCTCCTGTCACAGAATCTAGCCTCTTTGAGTTGTTTTATTTTCTTTGCATTATCCAGCTTAAACACTTGTACCAAATGGCTCAGACACTGGAATTCCCTCTGAGTCCACATTCAATGCTGGACTCAGCATTGAATGCCACCTTGTTGACAACTGGACTCATCATTGTAATGGAGGCCCCTAATGGAGTTGAGGGGGTCAGTGGCTGTGCTGCAAGGTAGAAAGTAGGCAAGAGGACAAGAAACCTGAGCAGGTACAAGCTTATTATAGTGAGTGCCAGGTCTAACCAACAGACGGAGCAGAAAACACAGCTGAAAAATCAACATGAACCCGAGAAGCCCTCAAACATCATCCACTTTAAACTCCCTGAGGATAACACTAAAGCAAATGAGTAAAATATGAAAACCTGTAATGGGACCACTGTATCTGGGCCATCTCCATCTCCCCATTCACTGAACACCTACAGAGTGAAGGTTTGCCAGCTTGTAGCGACCTCGATGACAAATAAATAACCTGCTTATAAACTGTTAGCAGAACACTCATTCATTCAGCAAATAAAGTATGAAGGAGGAAAGGACAGGCTTTCCAAAGCAAGAGCGAAGTAAAGTGCCATGGGACTGTGAAGAGAAGTAACAGTTATAACTGGTGAGGCACAGATATCAGGAAACATGAAATAGACAGTCAGAGCGATTACTAGCCAGGAATTGCTGCTGGTGGCTCTGGCAGGAAAGACAAGGACAGGCACAGGCTGGGCCGGTGACACGGGGAGTAAGGCGGAGGAGGCCTGCAGAGGAAGCAGTGCAGGGAGGTGGTACCAAAGTACACAGAAGGGCATTTCCCGCATTGGGAACATGGCATCTCATTCCAAGAAGCAAGAAAGACAAGCAGGTTTGGGTAACTGTGACATCTGGGAAGGTGTGAGTAGAGAAACCTCATCATACTTTCTGCGCACCCAAGTTCATACAGCCACTCCACAGGCATGCTGGGTGTGGTGGTGGTGTGTGCCCCTTCCTCTAGGTTTATTCCCTGTATTAGTCTGTTTTCCGTGACTGAAACAAAATACCAGAGGCTGATAACTTTATAAAGAAATTCACTGAGTTCACAGTTCTGGAGGTTCAAGTTCACAGTGCTAGTATCAGCTTGGCAAATGAGGGCCCTGCTGCAGATGGCATTACCATGGTGGGAACATGTGTGGGAGACCACATGGCAAAAGAGGAAGACAGAGAGGCTGCGGAGGGACAAGCCAACAAGTCTCTCTTGAAAACGAAGCAGGGGGTACCATAGAACTAGGTTCATCTCTTCTGAGGACTGCCCTTAATGACCTAAACACCCCTCTACCTCTGGAAGATTCCAGTATCTCTTAACATTGCCACATTGGGGACCAAGCTTCCCACACCTGAGCCCTTGAGGGACTCACTCATGCATATCCAAACCACAGCATCCTGTGGAGAACACTAGGGAATGCTTAAGCTCTGTGCACACACAGTATCCACCATATTGTTTTTCTCCTAGCCCCAAGCAATCTCCTGAAACAGGGGACTTCTGACCCCAGCAGAAGCTAAAAGATGGACTGTTTATTTCTTGAGTCACAACTCTAAAGGTTTTTCCAATACACAGGCTGCGCTCTTAGAAAGCAACAATAATTCTGGTCCATCGTAAGTTGTACAAACCTATTCTTTGATAAATGAGTTCCAAGTTCTAAACATCTGTCCTCCCAATAAATCTCAGAACACGACAACACTTAGGAAGCTGTAGACTATACAAGAGATAAAGAGCTTGCTCATTTCCTTGGCTCTGTATTTCAGATTCATTTACTATCTCGGGACGGAAAGTCTCGTTACAGGGACCTCAGGAATGAACGAGCTCCCCTTTTTCCGTGGGCTGTGTTCCTAACAGTCAGTGTCTAAGGATGGGCTTTTCCTGGGGAAGGGAGGTGCCATTATTAATAGATCCTTGTTTGTAAACAAATGGAGGCAACTGAGCGCCACATCAGGGTCCACACGGAACGTGATCCGATCGGTGGCGTTCCTTCCCCTGTGAGTTTTCAAGCATCTGGAAGCAGCAGGGCTGTTTGTAAACTTTGTTCTGAGCACTCGGCACTACCCTAGTGCAGCGGACCCCTGTGGCTTAAAGGACAAAACCAGGAGGGATTCTGGCTTCCATCACCTCTTTCCCTCTCATCCTCTCCCAATTCTATAAATTACTTCTGGCAGGTAGCTGGGAAGCAGCTGCGAATGACAGTTTTGCTCTGGAGCACAGGAAGCCACCTTTTAACCCTCCTGCTGTTGTTTGTCTCCCAAAACGTGACAAAAGAACAGATGTAAGCAACATGCCAACTGTTGAGAGGATCTGCTCAGAGCACTAGAGGAAGCTTGTTCAGAGCCACATCACACCAGTCACTCCAAGCAAGGACAACCGAGTTCATTTCCTGAAACCCCTACGCACACTGTTTGTGTCAGGCTGGCATGGCCGATGCTCAGGCAATCCACCATTCATACCTCAGTTCCTGTCTTTGCCCCTGACTCCTTCACCAGACCCCCACTCAAATGCCAGAGGTCCAGTTCAGCCTCACCTCCTGGTGTGGCCTTTTCTTCCAACCAAGTACTAGCCAAGTCAGACCCCGCTTGGCTTCCCAGATCAGGTGAGGGTTCATCTGTTCAGGGTGGGACCGGCCTTAGACAAGTGAGTCCTGTTCTGACCCCAAGTCCCTCCCTCATCCCTGCCAGTTTCTAGGCCTCTCCTGAGTCAGGCTCATCTCTGCAAACCACCCTGATAGCTCCTTGAGGGTTGGACACATGGCTTGTACACCTTTGTAATCCCAAAGCAGTGGTGTTCATAGCACTAGCTGCAAATCAGGAGTGCACTGGGATGTTTAATGGGTACACCCAATATTTTAAAATGGAAAATGAAAGCCAGATTACAAAAGACAGTCCTGAGATAACTGGGTAACAATGACATAGATATAAGGTGAAATTAATCCCTATTAATTCACTTAGGGATAGGAATGGAGTGACCGTGTAGGGAATGCCTTATTTAAAACAAGCAAACAGTTAAAAACAAACAAACAAAAAAACTCAGAAACTTTATTCAGGGCTCAAGTGACAGAGCACTCGCCTAGCTAGCATGAGGCCCTGAGTTCAAGCTCCAGTACTACCATCAAAAAACCAAAACCAACTTCATTCAACTTTATTTTTTGGAGCAGTTTTAGGTTCACAAGAAAAATTGAGTGGATGGAAGGTACTGTAAGTCCTATATATTCCTCGCCCCCATACACAGCCCCCCTACTCGCAATACCCCAACTAGAGTATCCACTTGTTAAAATCAGTGAGCCTTCACTGACACATAAGGATCACCCAAAGTACACAGTGTACATTAGCATTAATTGTGTGGCATATTCTATGTTCTTGGACAAGGTACAATGGCATGTAACACAGACTAACTTCAGTCCCCTAAAGTTCTTGTGAATGCCTTTTTAAGGAGATGCATGAGGGAGAATTTAGGGGGACTTACTTTCAAATGGATTAAAAAAAAAAAAGGTGCATGTGTGCACATGGCCCATGTGTGTAATTATACACACTGGCACAAATCAAGCTACTGTGCCAGAACGATACAACTGCTACAGGTATTCACTATGCCATTCTCTAAATTTTTCCGTATTTTGGAAGTTTCATAATAAACAAAACAAAATATCAGAATGCACTGCACAAAGCACAGTTTGTTTTTAGGTCATCTATTAATGCAAGTATGTCTTGTGGGTCAAGGTCCTGAGCTGGCAAATGCTGCCTGACATTAACTTGTGGCTCTAAGTACACAGCAGGCAGGCAACGAACTACTTGTTAATTCTTCCAGAAGCACAGGATTTAAATGAAAAAGCAAGCTGAGAAATCATTTTGTCCCCAGTTACATCCCATTAACTCAGCTGTGTCAAAACATCTAAGCACTTTCCTCCTTGAGCACACTTGGGCCTAACCTCAACTCAGCCTCTAGGCCTTTCTTATCAGATGTGAATTACTCATCAGGAGAGGCCTTCTGGCTTGCTTCTCTGTGCCAGGGAACATGTTAACAGAAGAGTCCAAGAAGGGTGACCAACTATTCCTAGTTGCCTGGTCTGTGGTGTTTCCCAGGATGAGGGACTTAAGGTGCTAAAATTGGGACTGTCATGTTTGAACTACAGCAGCTGGTCCCTCTAAATCTGAGAGAAGACTTCGTGAGAACTTGGACGGTTCCAGGAGAGCTGTGCTGCAGTATGAGCAATGGGGAAAACCGAACACACAAAAAATTGAAGCAAGACAGGTATCTTAGTGTTCACATAGCAACGGCAAAGGCCACACTGCACAGGATCTCTCTTGCCCTCAGAGAGCCTTTCTCAGATTATCTATTCCTCACCTAGCAAGGAAAGCAAAGGTTGCAGGAGACTTACTGTAAAAACGTCATCATCACCAAGCTCAGCTTCATTATGAATAGTGGAAGATGATGTTGTTGAGCCTAAAAAGACAAAAATAAAAACGTGTTTCCACAGAGTAGAAGTCAAATTTAATTATTTAAAAAGATTTACTTGTTTGAACCCAGAGCCTTACACAGGCCAGGAAGGTGCTGAGCTACAACCCCAGCCTTAACGCGTGCATTTTAATAAAACCATGCTCTGTTCCTTTTCCGTATGAATCGTTAGCAGAAGCGAGTTACCGGGGAGTTCAGTGTTTTAATGTATTACTGCCAGAGTAACTACAACTAACTCACTCCTCAAACTAACCATTCATACTATTATTCCAATCCCTCAAACTTCTCCACCAGCCACTAGAGGCAGCGCCATGGAGGTGGTTGAGGGGTGCAACTCTGTAGTGACCTTGAGGTCCCAGTATTGTAGGGAAAAGTCCTGGACAGGGACTCCACCCTCCCCCCACCAGTTACACCTGCTATAGTCTCAGGTGTAAACTAGACTTAGCTTTGCTGATCTTTTCATGTATCGATGAGGAAGTTCTGAATGACTAGGTTAATGGTCACCTCCAGTTCTAAGTTCACATACTACGCAGCAACCCCAGATTGTGGAAGCTATATTCTAAGCAGACACCTGGCCTGTTGGCAATCCCAGAAACCCAGGGAATTTTGTTTTTCCAGGTCGAAATAAGGGTCCTGTCAGAAAACTCATCAATTACACCACTGTGGAATGAGCTGGCCAGTTAAGTTCAATTCACTTACTTGTTCTCCCTTTTCTCTACTTGTGAATCAGCACAACTGCCTCAATTTCCCAACTGATAGCACCCAGTAATGGTCGATTAGAATTAACCTAATTGACCAAAAGAAATAGCCCCCAAAAACAACATTTAAATTTGCATAATCAGTAGATATATCAGAAGAAAAAATTATTCCCTGCCTTTTCCTTTCTTGATCAGGTCTTTTAAAATGGGCACTTAGAAACTATTTGCTACTATACAAAATTGCAATTAAAAGACTTGCTGAGAAAGGGATGAGAAACACTTTATTTCCAGTAAGAGATCACAGAAGGTGATTCCTAGTTGTCTCTCAGGATTCCTCTCTATTCTTTGAAAGAGTAAGGATAGAGAAAGGATAGAGAAAAAAATTACAAGTGGGAGAAATCAAATTTCCGGTGTCACTTGAGTAAGTACATGGATACAATGCAAACTTCTATTGATAATATCAGAGCTATCTTCTCTCTAAACATTTAAAAGCTATGTTTAATATTGACATTTTACCTTATTATTTTTTCAGTACTAGGGATTGAATTTAAGATCCGGCACTTGCTAAGCGAGGGCTCTACCACTTGAACCACATCCCCAGCTTTTAGCTTTTAGTTTATTTTTTAGATAGGGTTTCATTCATTTTAGATAGTTTTGTCCAGGCCAGACTCAGATAGAGATCCTTCTATCTCTGCAAGTCCACGAACAATAACTTCAGAACAGTTGTATTTCTTAAGCAAATGAAATATCCTTTTTCGACTAATTTCCCAAAATTCTGAATTTGCAATTAACACATGTTGCTTGAAATTTCTTTCTTCACAGGATCCAGACATGGCACTAACTAGATATGCTGAAATGGAGAGTTTGTATGTTTGAACCTGTGGACTGTAGCCAAGGCTAGCATGAATAACAAATGCACATACAGGCCAGGATCAGATGTAGCAATACACACTGTCACCCTCTGAGTATGGTCTACACCAAACCAGGACCCCAGGAAAAACAGACCCCTATTGTTTACCCAGGCTCTGATTTCAGAACAGTAAGCAGACCTGGGGCAATCTGGACCTGCCAGAATCCAGTCTCTGCTTCTCAGCCAAGATGGACCAAAAGTAGCCCTTTCAATAGTCAGCACAAGGTGAAATCAGTCAAAACCTCATTGACATGAAATCCGGAACTGCTTGTTTTTCCAAAGCACATTCTATCAACCAATTATGTTCACTCCTACCTCTGAAATCCATCACTTCTGCCCCTGCACTGTCATTTTACTCTCTTTGGAGCTTCCCAAAGTTTTGGCATCTATTGAACTGGCCCCCAAACCCTCCCACAAACCACAAATATATGATGGCAGACTGTTGGAATTCAGAAGAATCTGGAACATTTCCATAGTCCCACTAAGGGTACAGTGACAAGTTCAGTACCTTCTATAAGGTCTTCAATTGCTTTCCTCACTCCCCTGTCAAAGGCTCGAGCATCAGCAGGGCTTTGGAAAGTAAGTCCAAACTTCCTATTATCGACCTTCCAATGATGAAACGTTGGATTGGCTTTGGTGTAGACCAAGTCCTTTCTTACATAGCATTCCAATACCACCTGAAGGATTGAAACACAGGCTGGTTACTTGCAGAACAGCCGTGATGGTGTTTGGTTACAGAAGTCTACCTGGGAAGCATCATTGGTGGCAACTAACAAAAACTATCCACCCCTTGCCTTCACATGAGAGCCTCTCCACCTGGGAAGAAACCAGTGCTACCTGTTCCTCCTGCTCTAACTGTGGAGCATAAGGCTGACGCCCAGGTCTTGAATCTATTCTGTTATGACCTTGGTACTAACAGCTCTCAATCTTCCCTCCCTTGTCCTCATGGGAGGCTGGCTCCCTGGGACCCTAAGTTGAACAAGTTGAAAATTACTGAATTTCTCTGATATTTCTGTCACTAGTTTCTTCTCTCAATTTTGTCATACCTGGCAATGTCAACCCTTCTCCACTCATTCTCTCTGGCTTAAAACCTCCATGGCCATCTTTGCTTCCTGAGTTTCCTGCTTTTCCTTGTCCAATTAGTCACCAAGTCCATTTCCTTTGTCCTCCGGCACCTTTTCTATGAACCTCATTTCAGTTGCTGTCACCCCAGGGTGGGGTGCTATTAACTTTACATCAAGATCCTTATGCCACTCTCCAAGTTTCTAACAATGTCCTGGCAGAACTAAATTTGTTGAGTTTTAACCTTGATTGATCTTTTTAATCTTTAGATCAAGACCCTTGATGTTTTTATCTCTAAGATGGAGATAACACCAAGGTTATCAACGAGAACAAGAATGTGCTCAGAAGTCACTGAGAACACTAACAGGGCCACACTCATTGACTCCACCATCAAGGTGTGGTCTTGTGTTCACTCAGTTCTCCTGGTTACTTCACAATTTAGTACCTGATTTCATATTACTATCGCAGCTCAATGTGCATTACTCTCATTCTCCTAACTAGATATCAAGGGATAGCATAAAACCCCTGCTGTGTCTAGCACAGTGCTACTGGTGACAAAGATACAAGAGTTTATTTCACATTAAAGAAAAGAAGATGCAAGCTACTCATATGACTGCAACTTCATGCTTTATTCATAAAAACACCAAACCAGCTAGGATATTCCCATGGCTTCATTTTAAACACCACAATGATTTTGCTGAGTTTTAATAGCCTTGATCTTGTTCTGGCAAAGCTCTGTAATTAACAGAATGTGATCTTATTAATTTAGACTACGTGAAGGGCACGTGTGAAGAACTGCCTAAATTAGTGCAAATTTGTATTAAAAATATTTTTAAATGAGTACAAATTTCAAGAACACATCAAAGCAAAAAGAAATTAAATGTTGCCTAATAAATGTTCGCTAACTTAATAAATAAGATTAATACTCAAACTGGTATATTAATTAGCAGTCCCAAGCAATTAACTTTATAACATTGTATTGAAAGAGGACAATAGTTCTCTCCCACAATTCTATTTATGATTAAATTGCTTATTATGGCCATTTTCCCCTAAGAATAGTACAATGATTAAATGTGAGCCCAACCCCATTCCAAACTGGGGAAAGCCAAATCACCAAGGCTTTATCTAACAAATGTTATCTATTTTAGAATGTAATGGTCTCAAAATAAATGCTTTTTTGCAAAAACAAAGACTCAGTTTATCCATATTTTTAGGGTAGAAAAAAAATTAGTCTTTGGTTAACATTGTCCAACTGTGAAATTATTACAAAGGTATTATTTTAGAAAAGTTTAAGTAAAGTAAGTCCCTCCATTTAAATGAGAGGATGGGGAGAAATCTGGTACCTCTTTATGTCCTTGTAAGTAAACTGACACCATTATGTATCTAAGTTTATCTAGGTTTAACAGTGAAAATGAAACAGTTCAGCTGCCTTGATCTTTAGAACAGATATAAGGGCTCAGGGGAAGTTCTGACACACACAAAATCAGACATGAATGTAAAACTCAAGAAGGGCTTTGAAAACATATTTTTTTAAAAAGACATGCATGGGGAGAAAAGTGATTAGAGTCTTGTTGGAGGCTTTAAAAAACTGACAAGAGTTAAGTAACTGAGATGAATGCAAGACGCCTCTATTCCAGTCTTACTCTTTCTCCCTCCTCAACATCTGTTTCCATGTCACCCACAGTCCATACGGTGGGGAACACCCCACTTCCCTTGCTGTGTCTTCCTTAGACATACAGAAGTTTGTGTGTTTGAAATGTAGCCACACCCAGAAAGTGTTTGGCAATTTGTCTTTTGTTTTTTTTTTTTGGGGGGGAGGGTTTTTTTTTTTTTTGTCTTTTCTTTTTTGGTGCTGGGATCGAACCCAGGGCCTCAGGCATGCTAGGCAAGCGCTGTACCACCGAGCTACATCCCAGCCCTTGTCTTTTGTTTTCCTTAAAAACATGCCATAGGGGATGGGGGAGTCCACATATCTCAGTGGTAATCATGTGTTTGATGCCCTGGTTCAAATTCCCAGCACCAAAACATAAAAGCAAAACAACGAAAGCTGTCTAAGAGATGCAGGAAGGGACTAACAGATCTGCCTGGTGGCTGTGTGATACTCCTCCATGTGGATATACTGGATTGACTCCAGCATCCTCCATACTAAGAGACAGTTATGCCGAGTGCTATGGCTCACATCTAGCTGCTCAGGAGGCAGACATCAGTAGGATTGTGGTTTGAAGCCAGCCCAGGGAAATAACTTGCGAGACCCTATCTCGAAAAAACCCTTCCCATGAAAAGGGCTGGTAGAGTGGCTCAAGGTGTAGGCCCTGAGTTCAAACTCCAGTACTGCCAAAAACAAAACAAAACAAAACAAAAAAACCCCACCAATATTAAACAAAAACTAACGGACATTTAGGGAATTTGTAATCGGTCACTTTTATGGACAACACTGTAATCAATTTATACATTAACACTTTCCAAAGGTTGGACTATGGGCCTTTTAGTCTCCTTGAAATCCCAGACCCTTTAGGGGGGGTCTAAGATGAGAAAACTATCTTTAGCATCATAATAAGGCATTGCTTTTCCCTTTGTACTGTGTTGACATTTCTGCTACTGGAGGAAAAGAAATGGTGAGTGGAAGTGTCAATAAAGCATCATGGTGGCACCACACTGTACTAAAGCCACCCGATTCTTCACCACTCTGTCTAAGGGAGAAATGTCAGTTTTACTGAGGCATGTCCTTACTGATACAGTAGAAATTATCTGATTCTGTCTTGGCCTCTGATTGCACCGAGTTCTCACACTGCCTTCTGCATCCAGCATGCTCTAACACTCCACTGTGGATGAAGTACAGGAAGAAAACCTGGCTTTGCAAGAGGCACAGGCGGGGAGGGAGGAGTATTTCTCCAGGCCTTTTCTCTTCTGTATATGAGGAGGGATGACAGCCTTAAGGGAAAGTGTGGTGTGACTGTTTCAGCAGTGAGCTGAGCTACCTGTGTGTTTCTTGGGTCATTTTTATTGGAAAAAGAATCAATAGAGTGAACTTGTTCAAGGGACATGGTACACATGTACTGAATTGCCACCACAAAACCCCCTCATTTGATTAATGTGTACTAATTCAAAAGACAAAAAAACCCCAAAAAAACAAAAAAACAACCCAGTAAGACCAAATATGTTTAATCAGAGTTGGGAATTTGACAAGACATTTTGTCACTTCAAGGAAAACCAGAGATATTTGTTGCCAATAATAAAATTTGAACTTTCAAGTGAAAATAAGAACTTTGGATAGCTCTCCTACACTTAAACACTTTTCTTTCTTTCCTTTGGTACTGGGTTTGAACTCAGGGCCACACACTTGCTAAGCAGGCAGGCACTCTACCACTTGAGCCACTCCGTCTGCCCTTTTGGTTATTTTTGAGGTACTGCTTTATCCTGGTCTGGCCTCCTATTTAGGCTTTCCCAAATAAATGGAATGACAGATGCTTGCCACCAGCCCAGTTTCTTATTGGTTGAGATAGGGTCTCATGAACTTTTAGTCCAAACTGGTCTCGAACCGTGATTCTCCCAACTTCTGCCTTCCAAGTAGCTAGGAGTACAGAGTCGAGTCATGGCTCACGTATCACAAGTCTGTGGTATTAAGAAATGTCTGATCTTCTTTCGCTCGGCCTGGTGGACTGCACTGTAACCCCAGCTACTGTGAGGGATAAGGACAGCAAGTACGAGGCCAGCCTGGGCAACTCAGATATCTTGTCTCAAAGTAAAAGACTAAAAGGGCTGGGGATGCAGCTCAGTGGTAGAGCACTTGGCTAGCATGTGTGAGACCCTGGGTTAGATCTTCAGTACCTCCACAAAAAAGAAAGAAAAAAGGAATGTAATTATTTTTTGATATTATAGGATGAAATGGGCCAACATTTGGGAGCTCTGCTTAACTCACTAACCCCTTATTTTCTAGATGACTGATGGATGTTACAAAATCAGGCAGGAGTAAAAGAACCATCTAAAGTGAAAGTAAACCAGTGCATTTTAATGTAAAAGAACACGAAAATTTCTTATCACTGGTTCCAGATTCCATCCATAAAAAACTACTACTGGTTGGAATTTGATGAGGTATCAAAGAAGAATTATCTGAAAAGATTATTAATTATTTCCTCCTTTTCAACTATCTTTAGATACTTCAACCACAATTATGTCTTACAACAGACTAAAAACAAGAGAATTCAACCTTTGCTATTAAGCCAGATACTAACGAGATGTCCAAAAATACAAATTCTTATGAATTATTTTTTTAAAAATTATTTTTCTTCTGAATGAATTTTTTTAAAAATTATTTTCTTATGAATTATTTTTTTTGGCAGCCCTGGGGTTTGAACTCAGAGCCTTACCACTTGCTAGGAAGGTGCTCCTAAAGCTTGAGCCACTCCCCTGGCTCATGACTTATTTTTGTTCTGCAAAATAGTTACATAGTTATTTGTTGGGAAAATGTTATTTACTTACAATATCATTATTATTTAAGAGTCCTTTAAGAGTCCCCCCCACCCAGTACTTGCTAGGCAGGTACTCTATCTACCATTTGAGCCCTTTTTGTGTTGGGTATTTTCGAGATAGGTTCTTACAAACTATTTGCTGGGGCTGACTTCGAACCATGATTCTCCTTATCTCTGCCTCCTGAGTAGCTAGGGTTACAGGAGTGAGCCACTGGTGCCTGACTTGTTTTAATTTCTGATATGGTAAATATTAATAGCTATAATTCAGCAACAAAAAAAAAAAAAAAAAAAGAGCTCTTTAGGGGCTTTCATACTTAGAGTGAAAAAGTTTAAGAACTGTGGCCAACCATACATCTCTGGGTGGAAGTCTGCTTCTACGGAATAGTGTTCTAGATGTGAACTGTGAGTTACGCACATTTAAGATAAAACCCTGTCAATTTTTTTCTTTTTTGGCGGAACTGAGGTTTGAACTCGGGGCTCCAGGCTTGCAAAGCAGGGACTCTACTGCTTGAGCCACACTTCCAGGCTACTTTGCTTTGGTTATTTTGGAGATGGTCTAACTATTTGCCGGGGCTGGCCTCTAAATGAGATCCTCTCAGACTCCTAAGTAGCTAGGATTACAGACAATTGCCAGCACCAATGCCCAGTTTCAAATTGCCTTTTCGAGAGCTGTGCCAACTCACCTTCCCACCAAATGTGAGCATGCTCACTGACCTACACAAGGCCACTGACTGAGATGGTCAGTTCTTAAGATTTTGTGATTCATCCTCATGAACTGGTTTCTGACAGAATTTGCTTAAGGAATAAACTCCCCTAATCCATTTAAAATAAGATGGCACTCAGCAAGTTTTAATTTGCATATAATTTTTCAGGAAAACTTGATTGTCCCCATTTTAACCAAAAATTATCTGAATTAACTACTGGTAAATGGGTGTCTGGAACACATGTCTGTTTCCCTGCACAAACAATGACAGGTAAGCTCACAAGGCCCCCCAAAACAAACGAAACATGCTCACAACATGCTGCATTCTAGAACTACACTGGAAAAACTACTGGCAAAACAAATGCTTCTGTCAGAAAGAGTTCTCCATACAGTAGATGGAATACTGGGGGGGGGGGTCTGACACCATCCACCCAACAATGGCCTCCACACCTCTACACTCATCACTGCATCTCTGCAAAGCTTGGAAGGACAAAGGAGGAACCACTGTGTCTGCAAAGGACAGCGTGTGGTGGTGGTGGTGGTGATGGTGGTGGTGGGGGTGGTAGTGGGGGTGGGGGTGGTGGTGGTAGTGAGGGTGGTGGGGGTGGGGATGGTGGTGGGATGGTGGGGGTGGTAGTGGGGGTGGGGATGGTGGTGGTAGTGGGGGTGGTGGTGGTGGTGGTGGTGGGGATGGTGGTGGGATGGTGGTGGGGGGGTGGGGGTGGGGATGGTGGTGGGGATGGTGGTGGTAGTGGGGGTGGTGGGGGTGGGGATGGGAGTGTATGGGGACAGGCATCAAGAATTTCCCAGAATGTGAAACAGGCAAGGACTGTAACAGTGAAGTACAACTTGGTGCGTGCGTGTCAGTATGGTAACTGTAAGAGTGAGAGTGGAGAGGGACGGGAAGAGGGAGAGACGGAGCAATGTGATGGCAGAAGAGATGAGGCTGTCTTTCAGGACAACATGACCTGCAGAACAGCAACAAACAGTAGAAACTGGCCCACAACTCCAGCGGGATGGACAGAGACTGGAACTGCCTTGTTAGTAGTAGTGACAGTTACTGCTGTAAAGAGGCTGTGCTTTGTCCTCACAAAGAAATGGACCCAGCGCTGGCTCTGCCACGTCTGTGGTCCAGACCCAGCAAGCAGACACTTCCTGAGCTCAGTGTGGGGACAGGAGTATCTTACTCCTTCAGAATGTAGCAGGAATTCACTGAGGGTGTTTGTGTTAAGGGCCTTGAATGAAGTGGTAAAAGACTGCGATTACAACGGACAACTCATTGTAAGACAGAAGTTCATAAATACCTTTATAAAATTAAGGGCGGTGGGCTCCACAACGCTAAAGGGATTGAAATATTCTATGACAAACCATAAAGATACTAGGAAACATAGCATATGCAACCCTTCACAGAAGGTAACAGGCTAACATAACAACATAAAAAGGGGGGAAATAAAAAAAAAAAATCTATCAAAATTTTGTACAAAAAGAACATCAACAAAAATAAAAAGGCAAGTAACAAATTATCAAAATATATTTGTAGCAATATGGCAGAGGAACAGTAATATTTTTATATATAAGCAAGCACATATCAAGGAGAAAAATAAGGTCCCAATAGATAAATATACAAAGAACATTAACAGATAATTTATTATGACTGTTTAACAAAGAGAAAGATATCATTTCAGCTAGATACCACTGTTATTTTAGCAAATGAGTGAAGACTTAAAACAAGACCCTCCATGTGTCATATACATGCTAGTAATACATATATCAAAAGTCTGAAAATCTGACTCCTCCAAATTATTTAAAAAAAAATAATGTGGAAAATGCATGAAGTTTGTGTCTTTATAACACTGGGGCTGGGGAGGGGAGTAGAATGGAAAGAACCTTAATAGGTGACACAGAGGAGATGGCCAAAACAATGGAACACCAAACTGGTATAAACAATGCTACCGACAGGGGCTGGAAATGTAGCTCAATGGCAAGGTCCTGGGTTCAATCCCAGCCCCACAAAAAAGAACCAACAACAAAAAACGCCCAAGCCTGATTACAAACGCTAATTATAGCTATATAAAAATAACTATGCAGGGGACAGAAGGCACTACACTGAGGTCTAAAGGTGGTTTATACACGTGCAATTTGGGTTTGATTTTGGGATTGTTGTGAGAAGGTATCAAACACTGGTACCAGACCCCAGAAACTGGTCAACAAGAACGAGAAATTTTTCCAAATTCTGATCTCGATTACCATACAGGCTGCTGTAGACATACAACAGAATACAGCCAAATGATAGAACGCAACACTGCACTTAACACAGGGAAATGCTGAATACATAGTAGCTATTTCACCTTTTCTTGGAAGTAAGATTACATTGCCTTTATTCCAAGAATCTTATGCATAATTATTTGACTACTATGTAGGAAATTCCCTGAAGATTCTTAAGATTAGCTGTATTTTCCTTTTGAATTTTTTAGAAATGAACCAAGTGTGAAAATGCCATTTCCATTAATCCTTATGTAACATTTACACAGTTCTGTCTTACCTATTTAGTGACTTTTTAAAACTATATTCTTATAGCGGTTGCAAAAGATTAAATTCTTGCACTTAACACATAAAATTCAACAGATGCCACTGCAAATGGTCTCAAACACAACACTGATTTTTTTTTTTTTGCAGTGCTGGAGTTTGAACTCAGATCCTACACCTTAAGCCACTCTACCAGCCCTTTTATGTGGTGTTTTTTTTTTGGGGGGGACAGGGTGTCATGAACTATTTGCCTGGGCTGGTTTTGAACTGTGATCCTCCTGATCTCTGCCTCCTGAGTAGCTAGGATTACAGGCGTGAGCAACTGGCACCAGCGATGCTGACATATTCTTGTCTGCACTTTCTCTGTAAGATCCTGTGCAATCCTGCACATTTTGGAAGGCAGCTGTGCTCACAGTGCACCACCACCAACAATCTTGAGCATTTTGAATCATCTGTAGGCTTCTGAATACACACTCCATGATCAAATACAGTCAGGAGTACTATTCTTCCGTGTTTAGGGCCGTTAATTTTAAACAGACCTGGGACTGGGAGTATAGTTCAGTGGTAGGCTATGTGCTTAGTACATGAGGTCCTGGGTTCGATTCCCCAGCACCACATAAACAAATAAAACCAAATAGACTCTGTTTTCCTCCTAGCATAACACAGAACTGGACATCCAAGCTCCTTCATGAGACCGTATGTTATGAACTAACAATCCCTCACTCTTGTGAGATAATGATTACTTTTCCAAGTATTTATTTATAACATGGATAATTATTTATAGACGTGTCATACCACTACTTCTTGTTACTTTCTTTTTCCAAACTGGCTTTACTCCTTACTTCTGAAATAAAAGCTACAGCATCTCTTAGATAAACATTTATTTAGAGGGAGCCAAGTGCCAGATGACACTCCGTGCCTTGGCGCTTTCCCTTCCACCACCCAAACCTCAATGGCAAGCTCCAGGAGCAAGCCCAGCATTCGCAAAACTCAGGGCTTCAACATTCTGCACTGTTAGGTGACTCATAATAAAGAGTCTGCTTTCGTTTTAAAATACCTTGTGCCATGACAGAAAGAAAAGCCATATTGATCACCAAAAGAGTCTGAAGTCAGAGAAAGAAGTAAAAAATACCCAAGGGAAGAGGGCTATAAGTTAAATGCAGAGAAATCAGTCATTGCTCTTTAACCGCGTGGTGTGTGTCTGCCATTACCAGTTTGTCTTTCTGCCGTTCACCATGGATGAGAAAGCCGCTGCGTCCATTGCCTTCGGGGTGCATGACCTTACACACCCCTACGCGACTGATCCCGCCTCCTTCCTGTGGGAACCATCCCCCGCTGGAGTCATCTCTGGTCATAACCACAGCCTTGACACGCACAATATAGCTGTCACTAAAACGACAACAAGAAGAACGGGGCATGATAACGGTCTGGCAGCTGCAGAACATGCTTCACAACGCAAGATGATCGCCATCCAGGGCTTCTCTGGACCTGGCCACAGAAAACCTGGGCCAGGCAGCCCCGTCTCAACTTTTAGGGGAAAAACACAACATATAAACTCAATATAAAAGTACATTTTAAAGGCGATACCTATTAACTAAAAAGACATATGAGAGTCTTTGAAGATGTACAGAGGCATATTGTTTTCCAGTTGCTAGTTTTAAGTGTTAATAATAAAACGGATAAGCTGATCTCTAGAATTTGAGATCTATCTTAAAGAGGGTGTTATGGTTTCAACCTTTTACACTTAGTTTACAATAAATGACCAAGTCTTAACTTTTTTGTTTGGCAGTACTGGGACTTGAACTCAGGGCTTCATGCTTGCTAGGCAGGTGCTCTACCACTTGAGCCCCAAGCCTTAACTTTTTATGAGCTAATAATCTTCTTACTTAGTACAAGAATAAGATAATCTACTATCACATCACAAATTTTCCATGGAATCATTTACATTGGTGGAAATATTTTAATTCAAACAGCTCTTTACACACTCATAGCCTTTTCTTATGGTTTTATTTTTTTTCCAGTTTAAAACTGTGATTTTGCAATAAATTCTTTTGTACCTTTGCCAAAAATCTTTTCTTCTCCTGAGACCAGCTCTAGATTTTCATTCTTCACCACTTTTGGGGGAAATTATTTGACCTTTGCTGATAAGCAAGGCCAGGAAGTTCTTCTTTGATGTTTTTTCTTTGGATAGAGCTCATTTTTTAACCATTCAAACATCCCCTGTATACCAGGTGCTGCACTAGGTTCTCAGAGAACAAAGATCAGAACAACAGAGAGCCCTCCTGTCCTTGGGCTCCAGAGCTGGGGAACACGGAAACAGTCTCTCTACCTAACTCTTGCTCACCTCACCACAAAGACAAAGTCAGCCAGACTTTCTCTGACCCCAAGGCTCAGCCTTCACTGTGACCAAATTGCCTCCCACCGAGTCCCTGGGACTTAAGGCCCAATGGGGCCCTACTTTCCTTGTCTCCTTTGGTTTTTAAAAATTGTAGCAAAGTAGATCTAGCAGAAACTGACTGTGTGAAGCATTAAGTGCATCTGCATCGTGTGTAGCCATCACCGCTTGGCCTTCCCACCAATGTCTGCACACCCCCAGACCTCAGTTTTAAGCACACCATTGCCTTCTGGCTTTGCAGTTCCCGCCCTCTGATCCCAGCAAGCTTCACCCCACTGGACGGCTGTCTACTGCTGCCACCACCTTCACCTCGCTCTCCATGTCCTTCATGTCCTCACACTGATTCCCAACTTCAGTTCCATCATAACACGACTGCTCACACTCTGACTCCTGTGCCCTTTCTTTCCTCATTGGAACTCCTGGCACGACCCAAACAGGCTAAATCCTACCATGTATCTGCTCCACGCCCCTAAATCCAGCTGCTGAACCTGCTGAGAGGGAAACCCCCACTGTGTTCACAGGTATCATTCTAAAGTCACAGTCACTAACCTCAAGTGCCACTGGCATCCTACTACATTTGCATACTCTGCCCCAGGACTTGGCTGTAACATCTCTGATCCTCCCTCCATGTGAACACCTGCTCTGTGCCCACAGTGTCCACGTTTATGCTGCCTCCTGGCCTCTTCCCTGATGCAGACCAATGACAACAACAGCCAATGTGGCTTCTCCGCCTGGGCAACCAGTACACACCTCACCCAAGAAGTACCAGACTGAGTGAGCTCTTGATTCCCAATGCCTTCCCACCCTCCGGCTTCACCCTTCACCTGACCCCAGCTGCCATGCTTTTCCCCTGAGATGATCTCAAAAGCCTTCTAACTGGCATCCTTACTTCATGCTTGTCTGATTTTCCCCGAAAACAGAAAGGCTAGTCACTCAGATGATAAATACTGTATTCATACAAACTAACAGAATCCCTGTAAAAATAAAGTATTCTATCCTCATTTGCTTATGAGCCACAAGATTCCCTTTTCCCCAGCAAGTAGACTGGAAGAAAAGTCACAAGTCACACATGCTCACCTGTCACTAATTCATTCACCTCAGGAGTCAACATGCTGGAGATTTAGAACACCTGATATCGGCGGTGCAGGTGGCTCATGCCTATAATCCTAGCTACTCCATAGGCAGAGATCAGGAGAATCATGGTTTGAAGTCAGCCCCTAACAAATAGTTCTGGAGGCCCTATCTTGAAAATACCCATCACAAAAACAAAAACAAAACAAAAAAACAAAAACAAAAACAAAAAACAGGCTGGCAGAGTGGTAGAGTACCTGCCTAGCAAGTGTGGGGCCCTAAGTTCAAACCCCAGCGCCGCCCCCAACCCCTCCCCCAAAACCAACATGTGATGTAACATTTGTTTAGATTAGTTCTATATAAGCAATTCTGGAGAATACCCACATTTCTCTCCCCTGTACCCTATGAATTTCAGAAACACTAGGGTCCTCAGGATTTGTGACCAGCATGTTACAAGTTCACCTCTGAGGGAACTGGCCCAGGTGAAGAACTGAAACTCCACACCTCTTGTATAGTCATACTTTTACTTTTTTGCTGTTCCACTTGTGGGCTGTTCTCCCTTCAGCTGAGAGAATTAAGCAGAAGAGAAAAAGAGGTTGTGTTAGTGCCACAAACATACTTCCAAAAAGTACGCATTTGAGACTAAAAACTCATACCCCAGCGCTACACTCCTTTGCATTGCTGCCTGCCGCTCTATCCTTTTTCAATGAGGACCCAATAAATCTTTGATTTTTTCCTAAAAATCAAAAACATACCCCACCCCTCTGCTTCCAGATTACAAGGCTGTCACCTTTGGCCTTTGTTTGTGCTCAGTGGCTTCTGCCTTCCTGCCTTAAATCCTTCTACCTAGCAAGTGCTTTCCCAAAGGCAGACTTCTTTCTCTGTGATGGGATGGGAGGTAGAAGGGCTTTGGTGGGGTGGGAAGAAGCCACTTCCATCCCCTCCCACAACAACCCCAACAGCCTCCAGCTATTTAAAACAATGCAGGGGGATGGAGCTGCACTAAAAGCTGAGAAGCACTTGGGATAATCCAGCTGCATGGCCACTTGCCAATGGCTTCCTATCTGTGCCATGCTGATGTTACTCAGGCACTTCAATCTGCCCAGACCAAAAATGACAATGAACTCTACCACCAAAAGAGGAAGACCTCCTTCCCAGTTTCTGGAATGGATTAAGCAATATCTGTTTAAAAGAGGCACAGCGGTTTGCTTAGGAGAATGGATCAGGTAGGGAAATGGCAGTGTAGCTTAAATTTGCACAAGAAAAATACTGCTGGTATGCCTTGAACCATTTCTGAAATCTGCTACCCTTGTCAAAAATAACATTTACGAAGTTTCTGAATTTGACAACTGCTGCACAGTGCACTGGCGAGGACCTGGTGAAGCTCAGGTTGTGACATGAACACTAACTGAATGGAGCCTGGGTCTGAACTTGAGCTATACAACCCCCAACAACCAGTGTCATTACCAACGGTGTTCCACTACCGCCGTCAAAACCATACTGTGTTCTTTAGCTGCATCAAGAGTAAAATTGGTGGACTGGGCTCTTCCATTTAAATGTGATTTAAGGAAAAAGTTTTACGTTCTCAACACATGGACTTATCCATCCTATGACCACCCTTTGCAAAAGAGGCAAGTAACATCCTATAGCAGGATAGGAAGGCAAAGAAAGAACAATTTCAGAACTAGACTAGCCCCACAAATGAAAGTTTTAGATTTCAGCCTTTCTGCAGCAAGTTTTCTCAAGATGCAAAGCAGGCCACGTTGCAGAAGTAAACAGAGTAGCTGCAGGAATCAGGGACCAGGCAGCTGAGTGTCCTGTAAGACTTCAGGGCCAGGCAGGCCAGCAGGGTCCCACAACTCACTTAATGGAGGAAATCTCTTTTTGACCTTCAGTCTTTCTTTGTAAAATGAAGACAGCACCTACCCTGCTGGTTAAAAGTAGTGATGAAATTCAAGTGCTGAACCCAGAGAAGTTTGATAAGGTGCAGCCATCATTATTTTTGCTGACAGGCTAGCTTTGATTGCTAAGATGGGTCCTTGAAACCCCAGTCCCCCAGCCACTGGGGAATGGGTTTACAGTCATCCTGGCCTTTTCAGCTGCTACAGCACAGGGGCAGGGAAGTTGCCAGGCCCTTCACAGTGGGAGAACATTTGAGATGGGTCCCCTACTTGTCAACAGAAGTCGGTTCCATAAAGACCAAGCTGAATGACGCATGGCAAGCACACCTGCAGAGGAAAGAACTCCGTCTGCCATCTGTGAACTGGCCCTTTGCTCCAGCCCCCCCTTCCTGAGATTCTTTCAGGATGGAGACTGAAACTTTTATAAGCCCCAGAAATTCTCCAGGCCCCACTTCATCACCAGCCCTTATCTGATTACATGGTTCCTTTATCTCCCCATTACGCTAAACATTAGATTCACTTCCTCCCAGCTTCTACTCCACTCTTCCCCACTTCGCCAGACCTTGAGAGGGATTAGCTGAGATCCCAGCCTCTCCAGACCAACTCCCAGACGCCAGCTGAGCCAAATATAACATCAGCTTCTCCGGGAAGCCAGGCACACTCACTTTATTTTAATCACATACCCATGCCCCATCTTCCTCGTGCCTAGACTTATAAAGACACAAATTAAACGTGTATGAGAAATACACGTGGATATGAGCTACATACATACATACATACCTAGTGATCTCTGTCAAATGAATGAACAAAATATTTTGGAAGAATTAAATATATTGAGAAACCAAAGGTACTAGTAATAGTCTATTAGGTCAGGTAGTGGTTTGGTGGGTGTTCATTTAAGTGTCAATTACTTAAGTATTTTTAAAAAGTGAATTGCCCTGGCTTTAGAAATTTACAGATTCCAACTGTTGAGAATAATAATACAACCTGTAATCCCAGCATTAAGAGGCTGAGGCAGGAGG